CGGCCCGATCTATTCTTACAGGCATATAACGCATGCATACGAGAGAGTAATTTTCCCCGTCGATGGAAGCAGCAACAGCTAGTCCTTCTATCGAAGGGCGATAAGGCACCTACTGATCCGGCAGCCTATCGGCCAATATGCTTCCTGGATACAGCAGGCAAACTGTTAGAGCGGATCATCTGCAATCGTATTGAGTCATTTACATAGGGGCCTCAGGGATTGTCTGATAATAAGTTCGGCTTCAGAAAAGCGAGATCCACGGTAGATGCAATTAAGGTAGTCATCGCACGCAAGGCCATTGAAGGCAAACGATGGAAAGGAGGTCCTATAAAGTATTGTGCTATAGTGACCCTAGACGTGAAAAACGCCTTTAACTCTGCAAGGTGGAGCTCCATTCTTTCTGCGTTACTAACTCTTGGAGTTCCTAGGTACATCTCGAGCTTGGTCAAAAGTTACTTTAAGGAGAGAATCCTCCTATATGAAACTGGGACTGGAGTACAATCTTATACGGTCACAGGCGGTGTCCCACAAGGCTCGGACTTGGTCCGATGTTTTGGAACATTATGTATGACGCCATGTTGAAGCTCGATTTGCCGGAAGGCGCAAGAACTCTTGGATTCGCTGACGATGTTGCAATTGTAGTTGTCGGCAAATACATCGAAGAAGTCACGCAGGTTGCCAACGAGGCTGTGGCGGAGATCCGGCGGTGGCTTACGTCGGTAGGGCTACAGATGGCCGCGCATAAAACAGAGGCTGTGCTGGTGACGGGCAGAAAAGTGAGAGAGAGAGTATTACTCTAAATGTAGGAAGCTGCAAAATATCCTCGCAGCTGTCACTGAGGTATTTAGGAGTGCAAATTGTCGCGAGACTGCGCAATTTTCCTTTTCTGTTGCTCGCTCTCTAATCTTTGATGCGCTCTTTCCCTAATATGCTTCTGCCTATTCATTAGTTCAAACACATACTCTGTCACAGAATTACTCTCTGGTTCATTTTCAACAGTATTTTCATACAAAAGTGTCACCGTTGTCCTCAAATTTTTACCAAATACTATCTCTGCAGGCGTATACCCTAAAGACTCGTGAACAGACGTTCTCATAGCAAACAATATTGCCAGAAGATTCGTCTCCCAGTCACCTCCTGCCTCTAAACATAGAACTTTGAATAATCGATTCATCGTCCGATGTATTCTCTCTACCGAATTACTTTGCGGGTGATGCGATGAGCTATGTACTAATCTAATTTCAAAATTTTCTACGAATTGTACCATCAGGTTGCTCGTAAAACATGTTCCTTGATACGTTTGAATTTCTCGTGGAAATCCGGTCCTGCTAAACAATTCCAATAGTGCCTCTATGATAGTGGTCGTCTGCAAATCCTTTATAGGAATGGCCGCGGGATACCGTGAAGCTACACAAATCGCTGTTAAAATGTGTTTCGCCCCAGAACTATTTTGCGTAAACGGCCCTACTGTATCAATATTTAATTTAGAGAACACTTCAGTAATTGTAGGCACAATAACTAAAGGTGCTTTTCTCTTATCCCCACCATGACCTACTATCTGGCAACTGTTACACGATTTAACAAATCTCTCCATTTCCTGGAAACAGTTAGGCAGTATCGTGACATACATGCTTTTGACTTCGAGCAACCAATGTGACTCGAAGCCGTTTCATGACAAACCCGTAAGATTTCTCCGCGATAGACCTTAGGCACAACTAACATCTCAAAATTTTCTCCTTTCTTACTTTGCATATTCTTGAAGAGAATATCATTTATTACAAAATAAACATATTTTCCTAATTCTCGATTTACGATTTTATGCGACTCATAAATCTGCCTGATCTCTTCGTTTTCCTGCTGCGGCGTACGAAATTGCTTCGCGTCTACTCGGAATGGAATTCTTAATTTCACCCGAGAGTTCTGCTTTGTTTTCCTCTACCTCTACAATACCTTCACTCACCGTCTCCACCGGCAATACTACTGATACTACTGAATTTCCTGTCCCTGTCTGATCAGCCTTTGCCGCACTGGCCCGCGTAACCACTAAATTAATTTCTTGCGGTTCTACGAAACCCTCTTTGACCTCTTGCAATAACAACATAGATCGGTTGCTAAGAATGTAATACGGTAATTCGCATTCCTTTGGTACAACAGCAGCCCGCGTAATTACACGCCCGTTCGGCATTTCTAAGTCTATTTGCGCTACACAAGTTCGTGGGCAATTTCTCTAAGGGTTGACTAATCCAAATCGATTCTCCAGTGAAATCTGCTGCTTCTACTAAATTCTCGCTAACCAAATCAAATGAGGCGCCTGTATCACGCAAAATCAAGAAATCATGGCCGTTAATTTTCCCAAGTACAGCATGTTGCCTAAACAATTCGCTCGTTTCTGGCTCACGCGCGTGATTTACAGGTTCGAATTTTTTATTAGGACACTGCTTAGCCAAATGTTGTGGCAACCGACATACAAAGCATTTCCTGACAAACCGCTTCTCGAATTCAGGCCGCGCTGCAACCTTGTCCTTCTGGCTCGCACTCGGAATTTCCTTCGCCGGCCCTGCTGCGAACTTAGTTTCTGCTGCGAACTTAGTTTTTTTTGGCCTGAAAGGATCCTGGCTTTTTCCACCCTTGTCTATGATTTTCGAAGGCATCTAGTTTTTTTGCGAATTCCAGAGAATTGCTAAATTCCGCCCACGAAGCAATGAAATGGTCGCGCATTTCCCATGAAACTTCCGCTTCATCTGATCCGTAACTATCAGATTTAATAACTCCTCGAACGTGTGTACACGTAATCCGGACACCCATTCTCTCGCGTAATTTAACAATTCAAGGGCAAAGATGCCCCATGTGGAATTATTACCTTTCTTGTGTTTAACAAACAGCTGACGAATATTTTCCGCATTAAATCTATACAATTCTAATAATTTCAACTTAAATGTCTCGTAAGTCCATTCGTCCTCCTGTTTGTCTAACGTAATCCAATTGTTCACATTATACGGCAACAATCCGATTACATGCACAGCTCATTCGTTTTCGAGTACTCTCAGCTGTCTGCACTGATTTTCATAAGCACTGAAATATGTCGTGATATCGTCCTGTTCACCACGAAATCTTCCAATTATTTGCCCGATTTTAATATTTTCCCGATGCAATTCAACGCGTGCCTCACCACGTGTGTCCGCGCTCCCCACTATACGTGCCCTTTCGATGTCCGCTTCAATTCTGAATTCCCTATCCTTCTCCCGTTCTTTCCTCACCCTCTTTTCCTCGCCCTTTTTGCTCTCTTCCTCAATATCCTTGCGATGTTGTTCGCCCAAACCCTCAATAAATTACTGCTCATAATCCTCATGGCTGGTTATCAAACCTTTTAATTTAATCACGGTTTCTGTCCCGTCTAATGCAATACCCAAATCACTAGCAATTCTAATCATCCCTTCTTTCTTAAATCTAGTTAGGTACGCCCTAGCTCCAAACTAGTGCCGTTGCCTCACAGAAAAACGTACTTACCCCGTGCGCTGTCTGCCCGCCGCTTTTCTCGTTCTGGTGCTCGTGCGTAGTCCTCGTTTTCCAGTGGCGGTGAAATCGGATGGCGTGCTCGTAACGGTCCAGTACGACTTCCTTCCTTCTTTCCTTCCTTCCGTCCTTCCTTGCTTCCTTCCCTCCTTGCTTGCTTCCTTCCTTCCTTCCTTCCTTCCTTCCTTCCTTCCTTCCTTCCTTCCTTACATCTTTTCTTCCTTCCTTCCTTCCTTCGTTACGTCCTTACTTACTTTCTTACTTCCTTCCTTCCTTCCTTACGTCCTTACTTCCTTCCTTCCTTCCTTACTTGTTTCCTTCCTTCCTTCTTTCCTTCCTTCTGCTTCACTCTTGAAGCGCCGCTCCGTCCGCAGAATTTTAATCTCTCCGAGTTGCTATTGGTTGCTTTATACTGATACTCCCTTCCTAACAACTCGTTCTCAAATGCCGCACTACTATATCACTGTACCACGTAAAACATACACGCTTACATTACCGCAGACCCGTTCACTTACTCGGTGCCTACAATGCTACTCTTGGCTTGCTCGAGCCCGGTGCCACTAGTTTAATCACTCCGTGTCCTAAACAAACTGCTGGTTTAATTATCACGGCCTAAACCGATGCCTACCGGGTTCTCTTAATCCGCTGCCACCATTTTAATCTCTCCTTCGTCTGTGGCGTCATACGGGTGTAATCGAACACAGACGAGAGTGGTCTGTAAAACAGTAGATTTATTAACAATCTAGACCGTAGTCTCAACAACTACCGTGCTCACAATAAACTAAATAAATAGACCCACCACAAGGAAAGATAATTTAAAAACAGCTACAGCACCGCAACATACCACCATTGTTCTCTGTATGAAGCCGCTCTTTGAGACCATCTACGCGTCTCACAAGTCACGACAATGAATTGCCGGTCCCTCGCCCTAGTGCACCTACACACACAGACACGCGCTGGACCTGTCGCCGACGCCGCTAGAACAAGAAGACTGGGGCATTGTTCTCCTGGCGTTATATAGGCTCTTTTGCCGCTACCCGCCGCTCTTTGTTTAACATTCAGCGATGCTCGCCGATTTCCACGTGGTTGTCTGTTTTGAGCGTGGCACGGGGCCGAACGCCGCTTTCAAGGACCCTCAAGCTGGCATGGATGACAAGTTCTCGAGTAATTAAGGACGTTTCCTGTGTAAAATTGATATGTTTCAAGGTTTTGTGTCGGATGATCGCGTTCTCCACGAGTGGTAATATTTTGCATAATGTTATAATGTTTTTTGGAGAATACAATTGGATTGGTCCCGATTATTTCTAGTTTGACCCAAGCGAATGTTTGCATGTGAAAGTTCCACATCCTCATTGAAATAGGTATTTGTTTTTTTTACATAATATCTATGTATAAACAACTAGCAAGAGATAGAATATAAACATTTGCTTATTAATGTAGTGTAATAAATTAATATTTCATTTTTATAATTAATGTTTTATTTGTAGATTGACTTCGCTTGAATATAAAATTCAAGAGAATGCGATTGGGGAACATGACTGTGCTACAAATTACAATCCAATGCTGGAAAAGGAATTGGTAGAGGAAAAGGATCCCCGTTTGGAAAAAATTTTTCACTTTGTAAGCTCAGTTAATAAAAAGAAAGAAATAGGTAAGTAGTTGACTATATATATATATATATATATAATTTACTGCTTCCCATGAAGATATCTCGATTAAAATTTGTTTGCCCCAGTCTAATCTTAGGCTATTTNNNTCTTTAGATCCCCCAGCCCTCTACCTTGCACTCGGCTGCTGCCAAGCCGTGACGCTACAATATTATACATAGTAAAACATCATAATAAACATTTTAACATTGAATGAACATTTTTTATGACCCAACGCTTAGTAAATAGCATTTTTTGTCATACCTGTAATAATAAAATAATATCATTATCATATCTATTAATCATCTAGTCTGTTTATTAACATTCATCTTTGTTTTTTTATACATCTACTGAGATCTCTCTACTGTACACCCTGACAATATATCACCCTTGCATGAATATGTAATTAATGAAAATTTACTCTTTTAGAAAAAATATATAGCTACATAACGCGGCAATTATTCTTATCTTCCCACCCGCATCAAATTTAACATTCGCCTCGCTCTGAACCCCTGATCATCCTTGTAATCACTCCATGAATTGAACTATAAACAAAATTTGATTCTGAATATCCTTAAAGTACAAGCTTCCTCACAGCCGCAACATCCCATCCGCGCTGCGATGAGTCGAACGTGGTTGGCCGTTGTGCCCACAGCCGCCGGGTGGCCCTTAAACTCCGCTACCGTTTGCAACAGCCTGTCGCGCCGTTGCTCCCTTCAACCTCCCTTGTAAATGCAGGCCGCCTCTTACCTTCACAGTTTCGCACGATACCATCTATCCTTGTTTACTGACCGTTCCCTTTGTTCAAACACGTCGATCGCGTGTGTCAGCCAGCATTCGCACACTATGTTATTTCCTTCCGACACACCTGTCTACCTCTCGTAATCTGGCTTCACGATACTGCCTCTAATATTCATCATTCATTATCACAGTCATGTCCTAAACGCCACTTTTTACTATTGTCTTTAGTTTTCCTAACGGCACTTTACGCGATGTTATCCGATTATTCCTACTTCGTTTTCCTATCCGCGTCCGCCGCCATAATGCCACCGTTGCATTTTCGCATGTAACTACCACTCGTTATCCCCTCCGCTCGCTGAGTCACCTTGATTCCCCTTCTGGTGGCAGATTCGTTCATTCTGCCGTTCGTGATGACTGCGCCGAATATGAATGTTTATTTTCTCGTACCAATGACCATAAGGTCAGTATGTGTATATATACATATACATACACACATACATACATACATACATACATACATACATACATACATACATACACACACACACTTCACATGTTACGTTTTACATTGATATTTTAAAATTGTAACCCTAGGGTTTAAATTCCGAAGTCACAATAGATTTACAACACTAGCTCTTAGGGCTAATAATACTTACTTGCTTGTAATACTTACTTCATTTTTCAGTACTAATTTTTCCTAGAGACTGGGAAAAATTAAATTTGATTTTCTACTCATAAAGTGATGCGAAACTATTTTTTCATAAAAAAAGTACCACTTACTGAAAAAGCCACTTACTGAACGAAAATAGTCTATGTAGCCCTATATTGTGTTCATGGGACTCAGTAGTAAAAGGTTAGCCACCCGAGAAATGTTAAATACTAGGTAAGAACTACACTAGTATTTAACATTTTCTGTTTTTATACAAAAAGTCACAGGCAACAAGGTCCAAACTAAATCATAATTTTGACACATTCAGAGAATAGATTTTGCCCAGTTTTGAAAACTCGCATGTGAAACAAGAAATAATTGACTTTTCCCAACGAATCAGTCTCCGTGTGTTCACACGAGTCAGCGTGGATTACCGCAGCTGGTTGCGTCGCTCTACGTTCTCGTGACTTAGTTCCTTCCCTTTCACATATAGTTACTCATATACATACACTATATCACGCAAAAGCCTTTGCCAGAGTCGACACCAATTCTACGATATTTCAGCAACTTGTGAACATGTGTGTTTTGATAAGCAATGCGCTTATTCCAACTGCACACTTTTTGCATCGCCACAAGATTTGCCTCAGAAATGCTCCGGTTTCACCTCACGAATGACAGTCTTGAACAGCTGCACATCACGTAGACCAAAGGCCTTCACAACATCGCTGTTAAGGAACGTACACTTGCCCATTAGAGCAAAAGTCAAGCCTTTGTCTCGAGAAGCTCTTACAGAGGATTCGTTTTTTGACTTTTTAATACAAATAAAACATTCTCCAAAGGACAAGTTATCTCTTTTTCTTCATCACACGAAAGAAACTTCATATCTCCGTGCCCCATTGCGGGGCGCGCTGCTACGAGAGTGATGCATGTGTGGAACCAGTGGATTAGAGGAGGGTCAATGACTCTGTTTTGTCAAACTATTTAGGCAAATACTTTTTGCATGGGCGCTTAGCGAAGTTATTTCTCTTACGGTCTTTTTAATTTTTTAATTGAGTGGAAAATGTGATTTTAAGAATAAAAATTTCTTCTGATGCAGTTTGGGAACTTTAGAAAATTAATACGTTTGTATCATATTTCCTTCAATTGTATTTTATTGTACAATCTTATAAAAATTAGCGATTCTATATATAGGTAAGCGTAAATGAAGTTAGGCTTTTGGAAAGCATCTTAAAAACTTTTCGTCACTATGCATAAATGTTCACCGAGTACGGCGACGTCACAGTGAACAAAAATCTCTTGCACGCCCTAGGTAGGTTGTAAGTTACAAAACTAAAAAACTTAACGACAAAACAAATTTAATTTCAACTTACAAAATAATATACTTAATACAACGGTAATGAAAATTGTTGGTACAATTTGCTCAACATTTGGAGCGATTCGTCTGTCAAAAAAACTACAGAAGACCGACGGACGAATACAGACGACCGGACATGCCCACGGACGGACGGACTTGCAGACAGACGGTCTGGCGGACGGACGGAGGACTGGCGGACGGACGGAGGACTGGCGGACGGACGGAGGACTGACGGACGGACAGACGGAGGACTGGCGGACGGACGGACTGACGGGCAGACGGACTGGCGGACGGACGGAGGGACGAACGCGTGGACGGACGACGGACTTGCAGACTGACGGAGTGATGCCGACTGTCGGTCGGACACTGTCGGTCGGACGCACGGCAGGACAGATACACGGACGGACTGACGTCTAACAATCGAGATTCACTATGAAGGACCCACAATACTTGGGTTCTGACTACACAGCATGTTAGAGGAATTAATTTATTGTGTCTAGAAAATGATTTATCCACATTTCATTAGCAGGAACTGACAATGAGTTTTTCAGTAAAAAAAATCGTTTTACGGTGCACGGTTAAAATACTTTCTCTTCTTACGAAGTAAGGGCGAGAAAGTAAAAATTGACGGTTTTCGTTGGATGATCAGAAATAATGTATTTTCTCCGTATATTAATCAAAAGGTGCTTCATGAAATGATTTAAATCATACCTCGCCAGGAGGAGGGCATTTTTAAGTCTTTATGAAGTCACTTTAGAATGGTGGATTTATTTATAAATTCTGACTTACTCGAGACGTAACTTGGTGTAAGTGTTTGGATGTGGAAGACGAAATCCAATTTATTTGTGAAGTGAAAGATCTCTATCAAAGTTCATATACTATTTATTATTATTATTATTATTATTATTATTATTATTATTATTATTATTATTATTATTATTTTTATTATTATTATTGGGTAAATCACAAGACATGTTTGTCTCCTCGTTCCAGAAAACAGAACGCTACCCAAATCACCTGTGACTATTCTGCAGGAACTGATGGTTCAAATGGGTACTGTACCCAAATATGATTTAGAATATGATGGTACTGGATCACACAACCCGGTATTTAAATACAGAGTGTATGCAAAAAATGTTTCAGGTAAGTGCAAATAATTTTCTAAATTTTAATTCGCTTGTATCCCCAAAATTTTACTTTCATTAATGTTTATACACTGAAAAACAAAAAAACTTGTACCGCCATGCGTACTGAAATGAAGAGATCTAGAACCCATAAGAATACGGCCCTGCGTTCGGCAACAACTATATGTCAACCAGTCTGGCACAGTTGTTAGATCAGTCACTGCTGCTACAATGACAAGTTATCACGGATTAAGTGAGTTTGAACGTGGAGTTTTAGTCGGCGCAAGAGAGAATAGGGGCATATCTTCTCCGAGGTCGCGATGAAATTTGGAGTTTCCCGTACTACCATTTTACGAGTGTACCGTGAATATCGGGAATCCGGTAAAACATCAAATATCCGGTATCGCTGCAGCCGCAAAAAGATCGTGCAAGAACGGGACCGTCGACGACTGAGGAAAATGATTACACATGACAGAAGTCCAACCTTTCCGCAAATTGCTGCAGATTTCGATGCTGGGCCATCAATAAGTGTCAGCGTGCGAACCATTCAACGATAAATTATCGATATGCGGTTTCGGAGCCGAAGGCCCCCTCGATTACCCTTGATGACTACAATGACTACACGAAACAAAGCTTTACGTCTCTCCTGGGCCCGTCAACACCGACATTCGACTGTTAATGACTGGAAACACGTTGCCTGGTCTGACAAATGTCGTTTCACGTTGTTTCGAGTGGATGGACGTGTATAAGTATAGCGACTACCTCGTGAATCCCTGGACCTTACACATCAACAGGGAACTGTTCAAGCTAGTGGATGCTCTATGATGGTATGGGGCGTGTGCAGTTGGAGTGATATGTGTGCGATCTAGATACGTCTAGATACGACTCTGACAAGTGACACGTACATAAGCATCTTGTATGATCACCTGCATCCATTCATGTCTATTGGGCATTTTGATGGACTTGGGCAATTTCAGTAGGGCAATGCGACAGCTCGCACGTCCAGAATTACTACAGAGTGGCTTCAGAAACACTTTTTGAACACTTCCATTGGCTACCAAATTCTCCAGCCATGAACATTATTGTGCATATCTGGGGTGCCTTGCAACGTGCTGTTCAAAAAAGATCTCCCCCCCCCCGTACTCTTACGAGTTAATGGACAACCCTGCAGAATTCATGGTGTCAATTACCTCCAGCACTATTTCAGACATTAGTCGAGTCCATGCCACGTCGTGTTGCGGTACTTCTGCGTGCTCGCGGGGTCCCTACACGATATTAGGCAGGTGTATCAGGTTTTTTGGCTCTTCAGTGTAAGTGGATAAAAATATTCTTGTGAAAGTGTGCATAATACAACTTGGTAAGTTATGAAGCAATTCATTATGGATAATCTTATGTCAACTTTAACAAAGAATGATAACACGAAAACATTTTAACATAAATTTCGCAAATCACATGCGTCCCATCTTGAGTTGTGCACAAATGAAACAAAAATTTATTTTTGCCTATCTGGTTTCAACAGAATATTAAATAATTATGTTCACAACAAAATATTGTTTCTAATATGTACTGTATTAAAATGTCCCAAAATGCCTCCAGATATTTGTTTTAAACTTTTTTCACAGACAGAGCAAAGAGCTTAAATGTGACACAGCACTTCTTTTCGTTGAACTCTTTGAATTTCTGGAAATTCAAAGAAACGAGTTAAGAATGTTCGGAAGTCTTTCTACTACGTTATTTGATTTCATTTTCGATTCTCGGGAACACATGTTTAATAGAGGTCTGCAACCTGACTTGCATAGGTGTCCTCTACTCACAAGTGTCAGTCACGGACTTCTTTTAATCGAACCATGGTTAATTTTTAAGTCCTTTACTCCTACTTACTTATGTAGGAAAGAAAATATTGTGAGGCTGCAGCTTATAGTGGAGATTTTTCGACACCCAAAACTCGTATTTTAGACCCCTGATCCCAAAAAAGTGAATAAGTATTGTTCCTGTTTGCAGAAAATTATTTCATCTGATATGTTGTATTGTCAGAATCCTCCTGCGTCACCGTGATGCCTAAAAATTAGTTTAGGACAAAATGTCTCTGTCCGACTTCGGCAAGTATCAATTTTGGAGAAAATGCTGTGAACGGTTTAGTTGTTACTGTTGTCCACAGACGGCATGCAGACAGACAAACGTTTTGCCGCAAACCAATCCTTAGGCATAAAGGACCCTCAAAACTTGGATTCATATTACACAACATATTAAAGCAAACGTGTCATTAGTTCAGTTGAATTTATTGGAAACTGCTTTTGTAAAGCACTGCTTTTGCGATGGTTGTGAAAATTTACTTAATTTTACTGCTTGATAGTTGTAAAAGTATATTTAAATTATAGGAACTATTGTTTAAACGGACTATTCCACTCGTGAAATTAAAACCAATAGTATTTAACCGAACATACTCGTACCAAATGCCCCAGTCAGGACGGTGTATCTCAGAAAATGTATCGCTTTTTGTATCCCATTTTCCTTATCGCTTCTCCGTATTGGCCAATCATGAACTGTGACTCATCTATCTTAGGAGGTGGTATATATCGAGATCTACGTCGATGTCCAATAAACAGCGTATGTACTATAACATAACCTATTTGATTTTAACCTAGCTTTCAGTTAATTTCAATATTTGGCGCATTTTAGAACTCTGTTAGATATAATTTCACTCGTGGAATAGTACTGTTAAATACCTCTCTACTTTCGCATTTCTCAGATAAATCCCCTTCTCGCTTCTCGAGTCGGAAATTTATTGACAACTTCCCAAGCACTCTTGGTATTAGCTATGATAAATATATTATATTGTGTAAATCACTGTAGTTTACTTGGGAAACGAAGGAACGCCAAAGTATTGATTTTCGATAGCTTTATCATTACATACTAGTATCTACTCATTGCATGAAATAGTACAAGAACATGTTCGTTAAAACACTTTTGTGGGTAGAACGGTACTAGAATACAAATTTGTGAATCAATTCTTGTGTTTCAGCGACCGGATCTGGACGAACTAAAAAAGAAGCAAAATGTGAAGCAGCATTCGCAGTTCTGGAATGCTTGCGGCTAAATCAAATTGGGGATTCACAGCCACCACAAGAGCCTGCTGGAACGTAAGTTTTGTGTACTGTGTGTTAATGTTTTTGTTGTTTTGTTGCACGAAAAATCTTTTGATTGTCTGAACCGTTTTAACCCTCGTCTATTGTTTTTTTAAATTCCACTAAAACATACCATCATCGTAAGGCACTGGTTACAAAATTAAACACCAGTATAGCTCTTTCTAATATCATATTCCTCAATACATCCTATCTGGTTGAAGAATAAAGTATGAAGAAAACATAAAGATTATTCTTTACGTGTATCGAACAAGACTCTCGGAGCTGAATCGCATTCAAGGTCTAATTCAAGGTTCCTTTTGAAATTCATTCGACAGTTTAGCAGGCACAGAGAAAGGCTCCGTGAAAAGTCGGAAATCATTTTTGAGAAAAGCTAAATCAGCAAATCGTTGCACGAAATCTTCTCTTAATTTCTCAATTTCCTCTTTGTACACCTGCATGCGATGCAATGTCTCATTCTTTAGAGAATTTAAAGAAAATGTTTAAAGTATTTTTGTTTCAATTTCAAACCCCACAACTGCAGTTTTTTCAAGAACACTTCGGTGCGACCAAATAACTGCAAGGATAAAATCAGCTTTGTAAATGCAAATTATTGAAATGAGAATCCAAATTATTCAAATGAGAAAATATATCACTCATGACAGCTAAGACGCACACAGTATGTTACACCTCAGACTCAGGACTGTTTTTCCCTTCCAGGAACCTCGATAACTGATTTTGAAGTTCAAACACTGATTTAGAACAATCCTCAGACTCAGAGATCGCACGTGTGTGTGATACGGCAAGTCTTTGTATGAAGTATCACAAGCATCCAAAAGTTCCAAAATTGCCTGTGGTTTATAGCATTTCCCATTCGTTGCATTGAAACCCACGCTAGTGCAGGGCAGAAACGTCGCCCCGCTACTGTGCTGCCTCACACGCGCGGTTGCCATGAATGAAACGCATATTAGATTTAAGTCATAGCGTGTGTGCTGCGCAGTGAGATTACTCGTATAGACTTTTGTTCTTGTTCTGTAACGCTTATAGAATTGGAAAAATAAGAATTTTCAATTGTGATCGTTGTTTTCATTTTTATGATATTTATTATTATTTTTAACAGAACTTGTATGAAGTCTATTGGTAATTCTTACTTCTCAATTCATAAATTATTAACGTATGATATCTATATTTAAAAACTAGCAAACACTTCAAACACGTATCTGTCAAAATTTTATTTTTCGAGATTTGCCAATAATCGATTTAGTACACTAGATTTTGAAACGAATGGCTTGTACAGAAATGTTTGGTTATTGAAAACCAAACAATCATCGTTGTTCAGGCAAAATGTACCTTGTAGGAAAATTCAATATATCGCAGCACTGTCATAGGGGCATTTTCTTTACCGGTAGTCTGAAACAATGGTCCGATTTCCGATCTGTAAACGGCATTTGACGTCTTTTTAAAATAGAATTGACATTACAAAGCCCCTTTTCCAAAAATCTGGCAAAAGCTCGAATTTGAAAATGGTACTCGAACTTCCGAGAAAAAATTAAAAAATGGGGGGTTATAGCGCGATTTCTTCATGTTTCCTGAATCCAACGCCGTGTCAATCATGCAAATCCGATGAATAGGAGCGTCGTAAAGTGAAATTTGGGAAAACACCTCGCTCCCCCTCCCCCTTTCACCCTTTGTGTCTTCCGTTGAGGGCCCTCTCTCGGCGCGGCGGCACGGTCAGCCCGGCGGCGTGCGGCCAGTCCCGGCAGAGGAGGCCAGAAATCCGAGACAGGCAAGCTAAGCAGTCGGTTTTTGCTTTCTACACTTTGCATCTCAATATATTTTCCCCACGTATCAAACTAGTGATGCTGAAACAAAAGCAAATGGTCTCGCATCATCTGTAATTGTAGTATAAAACTATATAGTTCACATATTTCCGTCCTCCTTCGAATACCATCATAAAATTGTTTGACGCTGATTAAAAAAGACTGAGTAAATATCACCAACATTCCATCGCCTTACATCTTATTTTACATATATTTTACTTCTAAGATCTTCCGTTACCATTCCACCACCGGAAAGAATGAGCAGATATTATGCACGAGCACTTTTATCCTACGACTCGGTTTTTGATCACAAAACGGCGACTGTATCCTTGATAGAATTCACTTTGAGATACTCTTTTCCCAAGTAAAATAGCTGAAGATAAATTTAAAAATGTTTTCGTACTTTTGAACAGATTTGAAAAAGTGGTAAAATAGCGTGCTGTCATTTTTGAATCAAATTATTCCTCTCGTGGATAGAGATTGCTAAACTAGATGGATTTTTGTCGATGTTTTAATTTTGAATATTAAAATTTTTAAGTAAATTTATAAGATATTTGCTTTTACAATCCTTGTACATTTGCAATCCTTGTGCCAGTATCTACAAAAACCCTTGTCCCAGCTCACTACAAAAAAATTACATGCATGTACATTATTTTACAACACTTTGCCAGATGACATTAATCGATTTAATTCGATACAAAAGTTTAAGTCCCAAGAAAAATGTTTTCTACTGCACAACTGTTTCTATACAATTAGAGACAATAACGAACATCCGAAAGTAAAGTAATATTCATTTTAACAGTGACATGTAATGTAATATTTACCATTTGGACTGAATAATTTTAAAGTACCTTTAACAATTGTTGTTCTTCAGCTTCTGAGTCAATGACCCCCATCTCGATCAGGTTTTCATCTAGTTTCCCTTATCCTTGAGCAAATGCTGAAATGGCTTTGTTTTACTTCTGGGCATAGATGTAACTTCAAATTAAGTCCCGCAGGATTGGCCTTCTCCTTGTTGCACGTCACACACAGTTTTTTAAACTGTTTTTGACGTAAATTAAAAAAAATGTTTTTGCAACCCTCCAAATCCGATGATAATTCTGCGAGTTTTTTTCAAACAATGGCAGTATGTACACGTGTAAGACTCCGGGTATCAAAAATATTTTTGAACGTAGGGATAGGCTGTTCGGAGAAATGACGCTTTGTTGGCGCCCACTCCAATAAAACGACGTCTGTCCCTTCTTAGCACCTGCAAGCCCAAACCCTTCGCAGCCGCTGGACGCGCACAGAAATTGAATGCATGAAAGAAACACAATTAAAGAGCTCTGTTATAATTATGTGCACGATTTATTGGAGAAAAACGAAAGTAAAATGTATATGCTCGTCCTTTTTATATTTCATGAAACTGGTACCATCACTGCAAAATCTTATTGTTCTTCATCAATTATAACAATTGTGAATCTTTATCTTTTTATGTGAGACCGAAAAAATTTATTCTGCGTCTGATGGTGATCTGATTCTGAATCGGATAGAATCTGACCACCATGGTTGTGAACCCACGATGTAGGTTGTTGTTCCGTGGTACCTATATGTGACGGACAGTCGTTCCCTTCACCGTCACCCGGCGCAAAGAGTGAAAATTTTGTATTTCCGGTATCAGGTGGTATCTGGAGAGCAACAAAAATTATTTTCGTTTACTACTGGGCAACAAAAAAGCGACAAAATCCCATGTAATAATTTTTTATTTATCTTTGTAATTTCTTCGTTTTGTGATACTTGCGGTGCTAATTTGATGTCCAGTTTGCCAATAGTTTATAGCGGGGTCAAATGAAGAGCGACAGTCTTTTGCGTAACAAATTAGCAACAAAAAGCTATAATTTTTTGCGTAACAAGTTAGCGACAAAAAGCGACAAATTTTGAGTTCAATTCCAATTTTTTTAAACTTCGCTATGCTAATTTCCCGGACCCAGTGAGGAGGAGATCCGGGAATTCCAAATCCGACGTAGCACTGGAACTGTAATTAGCAAATAGACAACATTGCGAATGCGCTTACAAAGTTCACTAATACTGATTGGTTCGCTTGCTCGCTGCTCTTTTTCGCTTTACACGTACCGCTTTATCTCCGCTATCGCTACTACTGATCATTCTTTAGCCACCAAGTTACCTCAGTTTAAGGAACTTTTTCGAAGGATGACCAGGTAAAAATCGGAATTATTTGGAAACACAATTTTTCAAGATAAATTCAGTTCTATACTTCGGTTATAGAGAATACGAGAACGTCTGCAGAACGGCACAGACGGAACAGAATGGCACAGACTTTCTAGAACTAGTTCGTTTCCTTATTTCTTTGCTCTGGACTATATTTTCGGTTTCACTCCACCCTCTTCCCACCTAAAGATAATTTTTTCACATTTTTTCCAGTTTCTCGTAGCCCTAATGGTAGAATCGAAACATGACTTTAAGAATACTATAGAAATATAAAATATCGTCATACATGTACATTTTCGTTGAAAAATTTAAGAAACTAACGTTTGAGTATATCTGAAAATGCAGAACTGCGAGCTCAATTTCTCAGAATACTTTTCAGTTTTCGAGGAACTTTATGAGTAGAGACCTGATTCTTATGTAATTACTATTTTTTCTTTCTACTTACCGATCTAAACATTTTAATTTTGGCGAATCGTTGCCGTCCTAACTCAATATCTACATTTTCGTTACATGTTTTTACATATCAGTACGGTCGTTTACCAGCCACACGACGCAATAGAAACCATCCTACAAGCTCGCGATATCTACAACCAGCAAATTTTCACTGCTATACTATATTACATATTTTGCTATTTTCACACATTTTTTATTCTATCAATTTTCTCATTTTTATGAAAAGAAGTATTAAAAAACACTTATTTCCTACATCGTTACTGCGTGCTGCCTACTTGAGGTTCGCTACATGAAGACGTGGTAGGATGTTCACACAGTCCTGCTCGTCTGCATCAGTTATCTCCGTGGCGGGAAGTGCACGTCAGTGACCGAGATCAGTTTCACCTTCAGGAGAAACTTAGCCGAATGTCAACTTACAACTCTACGCTGAGAATGCTACACTCTGCAGTGATAATTTGCTGGTTGTAGATATCGCGAGCTTTTAGGATGGTTTCTATTGTGTCTAGTGTGGCTGGTAAACGACCGTACTGAATTGCAGTAGATGGTTTTACAACTGAAGGGAAGGTTGTATGGTACAAAGCATGGATCAATTTGTACTGTTCAAATTATTTTTAAAACGTTAGTATCACTTTTAAATTTATATCGACTTTTTTATAAATGTAATCTCGTATAATGTAAATGTTCGTTGTATAAGAGTGTATTTTAATATTACTTATTTTATACTATTTTACATATTCTTAGTGATTTCATTACATATTTATATACATATTTTGACATTCATACTACATGTTTTCCCGGTGTCTATTTATGAGACATTAATTAAACAACCGCAATAATGTATCCTAGTCGCTGGTAATGTAAATATTAGAGACGTGAGAGAAATGTCAAAAAAAGTGTAAGTTTTGAAAAACAAAAGAAGAATAAAGTAATACGTTGTATATTCTTACACAGGACAATTAGAAACCTCCCTACCAAAAGTTTGAAAAAAATAGGAGCCGTTTTTGAATAATTCTGTTTTTTTAGTATTTTTTTTGTGATGCACATATTTCACGTAATATTATACAAAATCGACCAAAGTTTTCAAAGAAATGTGCATGACGTCAATGAAGGAACTAATTAGGGAAAACAAATTTCATTTGAGGAAAAATCTCCATCTTCAATACTGTAGTTATAAGGAGACGCCGAAAAAAATTCAAACTTTTGTAACCTTCAAAAAATCAAAGTTAACAGTAAACATCGGACCCGTGCCACCTTGAGAACATATTTCAATCTACTCTTACAACATTGTATTTTGCCAAATTGCACTTTACGATGCGCCTATTCAGTCGATTTGGACGATTGACACGACGTTGGATTCAGGAAGCACTTCGTCATCGCGCTCTAAGTCCAAATTTTTAAATTTCTTCCCAAAACTATCCAAAAAAAATTCCAAACCTAATCCTCTTTTTTTTCAAAGAGGCTCCGTAGCGTAAATTTTATATTAATTTCAAATCCTATGTCGTTTGCTGATTGGAAATCGGACGACTTGTTCAGGCATTATTAAAGTAATTTTGGCATATTTTGATGCTGCTAGGTGGTGGCGACAAATTGAACTAGTGTCGGTACATTTAGCCTGAAGTTATTCAAGGTTGATATTTAGGGAAATACAAAATGTTTTTCCAAACTTCACGTAAGTCACAAAAAATATTTTATGACTTTTATTGAAAAACATGATATACTCCATCATTCGATGTGTCTCTGCGTGACAGAAGATCCTCTGTTGCCTTCACAATTTTATCACGAATCGAAATCAACCCATAACTTCTGTACCGAACTTCAAATAGTCCGATGCAATGGACCGCACAGACGAGCTTCTCAGTGCAGGTTAGGGCACCCTAAGTGCACCTTGGTTCCGTGTAATTGTGCGAATGAAACTTGCGCTTCTTTGCACTGGTGTGCCCTAGCGGTCAAATATAATACGAAAGCTGCCCTGAGTACGCAGCAGTGCGGCGAATGGAAGACGGTATTGGATTGCCGCTTCTTGTTTACATATTTGACCACGACCTGCATTACACTTCGTAAAATTAATACGTCTCTCTACGTCCATTTAGTAAGCATTCCTGCTGTATAGTTAGTCGGGGAATGACATCTATTGACATCGACCTCGTGTGTTCCAGTTCGGAATCCACGGCCTGTCAACCAATCACATTCGTAGAATTTTCAGAACCCACGGGCAGAATTGCATTCTTTGCAATTTGCAGAACCGTTTTTAAATAACAATCGCAGTGCGCGGAAGTACCCAGAGGGCAAAGGAGGGAAATGTGGGACAAAGCGGATAAATGAGGACGAAGTGGACAAGGGAACAAAATGGACAAAATTGGAAAAGGAACAAAATGGGAAAAGACAATTTAGACAATTAGAAAAATGGGACAAGGTTTTAAAATGTACCAAGAGGGCAAACTGGAACAAATAGACAAACTGGAACGAATGGAAAAACTGGAACGAATGGAAAAACTGGAACGAATGGAAAAACTGGAACGAATGGACAAACTGGAACAAATGGACAAACTGGAACAAATGGACAAACTGTGACAAATGGACAAACTGGGACAAACCGGGACAAGATTGAAATGAAGAAAATGAGACAAAAAAGGACAAGGGCCAAGTGGAACAAAAGGGACATATTTACCCGAAGATTTATGAACAGTGATAAAATTTAAACTTGCGAGATCGCTAAAATATTTTTAATGGATTCTCGAGCATTTTTTCGACTGTTTCTATGGAAGCGGTCCTAAAGCGTTGGATGGGTGGTTGCTCAGGAGCAAAGCGGGTGCCAGCCGACGTAAAACAAGAAAAATCTCTTCCGAAAATTTGAAGGTCGTAGAAAAAGATAGTCGTTTAAGTCGCATATAATGACTATTATTCACTCGTAGAAATTATGACACTCGCTCGTGTCGTAAACATCAACTCTTGAATAATAGCTATCATTATGCGCTCGCTCGTTGGAGAATATACTATTACACTGAGTGACGCAATATACAAATGGAACAGAACTACAACACTTGAACAAAGTCAAGATAGGTAGTGTTCTTTTTTGATTGAAGTGTGTTTTTCAGATGTCAAAGTACATATCAAAGAATAAATGTAAGTCTTAATGCGTCATATTGAGCAGGAGAGTGACAATTTAAAAAACACATAAACAAGAAAGTCAAAAACGACATTTTTTTTCTTGAATACGGTCTCGAATAGGGCCACGTTCGCCTCAGAAGATGGCATAGTTCCAATTTTCATAAAAAAACAATTTAGTATCGATAATTTCAAAAATTGAACTCTTTTGTTGATGCCGCAGGAGCGCTGCTTGTACGCAAACATCTGGGTGGTCTGGTGCAGGCTTGAGCATGGGCCCCAACGAGGCGCCTTACGAGGCTGATGACATTTTATCCGCGCCTCACCCGGTCCTAGTGACAGACTCACTTATGCGGTAAGTGACCGCTGCGGGAGCCCTCGGTGAAAGGAAAGTCCGAGTCGGAAATGCATTGAATGATATTGAAAAATTCAACAAGTGAGGATTACAAATAACACATGTAGATTCTGAAGAGCCAAGGTCTAATTTTTTACTGTATATTTGACACTAACTTGTTTGACATCTACAGATTCCATGGTCAACCTTTATTTTTCAACAGATTTTAAATATATTCGTAATGTAAATTACTAGATATGAAAATGCATATCATTTATTACAATTACAATGATACCCACTTCAAAAATTTTAATCAGAAATAGGTCGTGATACTCTTCACCATGTGTTTTTTGTAAATGGGTCTGTGGTTCTAATTTTATTTATATAAGAAAGAAGCATTTTGCGAAATAATAATAATAATAACAATAATAATAATAATAATAATAATAATAATAATAATAATAATAATAATAATAACGCGCTTCGAGAAATAACCATATTGAGGAACTTATGAACATTGTTATTTTGTTCATTTAATTGTAATAATTTCCTGACCCAAATAAAAACAGACATAAAATTAATTTGTATCAAGTTATTTCTTTTTTTACGTCTCGACTTATGGGGTCTTTTCCAAAAATCTACGTTTCATGTTTCTTTAGGAAACTTAATAAACATTCAGTTAGCATTTTTACAAACTAGTGGTGCTGACAAAACACATACTTTCTCGCATTGTTTCTAAATACTCAGCAACATTATTCTACTACATAAATCAGCAAAAGTGTTTTCAAGCAGCAAATTATTTTCCCGCTTCCTTTTTTTCCACGTCCATTTGAATATCGTTGAACGATAGACGCTATTTGTCAAAATTTAAGTGAACTACAATATTAGAACAAACCCATGGAATACGTACTATCAACATACTCTGTTTGGTATACGGTGTTTTTCTGATTGAAGTTTGTTCTTCTGATAAGTATAGATCAAAAAACTAAATGAAATCGTTTTAGCGTAATTTTAAGCAAGATGATAATTAAAAAAGTAAACAAAATGTTCTCAAAGACAACACAGATTTTATTCTTTAATTTTGTGACTCGAATACGGCAATGTTCGCCTGATATAAGGCATAGTTATGATTTTCATAAACCCCAATTTAATGTCGATAATTTCAAAAATTGAACTTTCTTGGTGATGCCGCAGGAGCGCTGCTCGCATGCGAACACCCGGGTGGTCTAGTGAAAGCTTGCGCATGGGCCGCAGCGACGCCCTTCACGAGGCTGAGAACACCCCGTCTTCGATTCAGGAGGCTGGTGGAATCACGTCCGCGTCCCACCCAGCCCTCGTGAAAGACTCCCTTTTGCAGTAAGTGACCGCTGCCGGAGCACTCGGTGTAAAGGAAAACCCTGCGGCTTGAAGTCGGAAATGCATAGAATCATGTTCAAGAATTAAACAAATGAGCTTTACAACTAATGCATATTGGTTTTGGAGAGTCGTGATTTGACAAAATGACATGGTTTTGAATAAATTATGGCATAGTTCCATTATTAAAACCCACTTAAAGTTGATAATATAAAAAAAGTTTTTGTTTTTGATGCCGCAGGAGCACTACTCGCATGCAAACAGCCGGGTGGTCTAATGAAGGCTCGCGCAGCGACACCCCTCACGAGCCAGAAACCAGCTCGTGCGCGTCTCAAGAGGATAGTGGCAGAACGTCCGGGACCCACCCGGTCCTGGTGAAAGACTCACTTTTGCAGTAAGTGACCTCTTCCGGTGCACTCGGTGGAAGGAAATTCCTACAGCTCTAAGTCAGAAATGCGGAGAATGATGATGAAAAACGAGACAAATGAGACAAATGTAGTTCTGGGGAAGCCATGTTTGATTTTTCACTGAATTATGTTACATTAAATTATTCAACATTTTCCACAGATTTCATGATAAATATGTATTGTTTCAACAGCTTTTAAAAATATTTGTAATGTAAATTGCTAGATACGAAATTCATACTATTTATCAGTGTAAATGATATTCACTTCAGAAATTTAAATCAGAAATATCGATTATTCTAAATGTGTCAATGAACCTAATATTATTTATATAAGAAATAGACCAGAAACTTTGTGTAAAGTAATAAAAAAGAACAGAAACCATATTGAATTTGTTAAAAGAATGGATTTTTATTAAAAAGAAGGGATGGCATCAAAGTTATGATTTTCATAAACCCCAATTTAATGTCTATAATTTCAAAAATTGAACTTTCTTGGTGATGCCGCAGGAGCGCTGCTCGCATGCGAACACCCGGGTGGTTTAGTGAAAGTGATGGTCGTGTGTCACAACCTGTTGCATTGTCAACAACAAATGTGGGAGTGTCGTTCCCACTTTGGCCTTAGCCGTTTATAAATTACATCGGAGAAGCTAGAGTCTCGCAGTTGGGTATTATGAAAACCGTGCCTCACACTTGTTTTTTAAATTAGCTCCATTCATATTTTTTTTCAATCATCAAAAGCATAAAAAAATTGTTCTTTAAAGCTATCATTTTTGCAAAGTTAATTTTGCTGACACATCTCGACAGCCAGTGCACTAAAATTATTGATCTTGACATTTCCTACGTAATTTCTCATGAATGGCTTCACTCTCCATAGTGTAATCATATTCCTTTCATATAAGGATGTAGATACAGAGTAAGTTAGACTGAGTAGTATCAACCGATATCTTAATAATTTTTTCTAGGCCAAGTTGTTGAAGAAATATTTTAGAAACAAATCTGCAGGCATATATTTTGCATTATCAATGTATGCATTTGTCAGTTTATTTCGTAGCTGCTTACTGGCAATGAATGGATATTGCTGTTTTGGAAAAGAAATATTTACGTGGAAAACTGCTTTATGTCAACAAATTCAATAAAATAAAATAAAATAAAATACAATTAAGTTAAAAATTAAAATGAAAATTAAAATCAAAAATCAAAATCTTGAAATCCATATTCCATGCGATTCTCTACTGTATCAATAATTTTAAAACAATAAATTCTGTCTTTCAAATAATTCTGATCAGTTAAAAAGTTCAGAAAAATATCAGCCTGAAAGTTAATTCATGGTCGTGTCTGCAGATTTTAATAGACTCTTCATATCTAACCCGGCATATTACTTCGTATCTCTTCCATTTCTTTCTCTACGGCTCTCTTTTGCCTCATAATTCCGCATTGTTGAGCGAAAACTGCATTTCATTATCGCGAACATTTTGAAAGTTATGGAAGTTGCCTATAGTTGTTGGGACATTCTCTATAATACTTAAATCTTTAGCTTCATTAATTGTTTCATAAATAAAACACGAACAAAAAAGCGGCATCCAAACAACTCAATCTACTTTCCCACAATGTTAGGTGATGAGATGAACTTGCCTGGCCGGGACGTGGACGTGCTAGTTTGCGCATGCTGGGAGCCTAGGCTCCCTGCCCAGTGAGAACCCTCCAGCACGCGCCCTCTTGTGCGCATGCACGGCGTAGCGAGCCAGTGTCTATCCACAGGGGCATGCTCCCCGCCCTGCCAGTGGCCCTGCTGATTATTGCGCCTTGGCGGGGGGCGGGAGAAGTCGAAAACATTAATTTTTCTTTAACATTTCAGTAAACAAACAATGGAAAAGTAACATACATAACGACAGATGTTTAAAAGTATTTTGGGTATTCTAAGATTCCCAGATTATCCTTCAGCTTCGCCACTGGTAAACTCGTTCAGAGGAAAATGTTTTCACAAATATAAGAAGAGCCGAACAATTTGCGCAGCTGTAGCCCGAATTTTAGAACATTCTCTACTAATTACAGAATAAAATAGCTTATTACTTCTTCCATCGAGCAAGTTCTTCAGAGCTGAATCATTGCAGATCCATTAGAAATTCATCCGACACATTAGCGCGCAGAAGGGCCTGTTAAATGTCGCAAAACACTTTTGAGAGAAGCTAAATCAGCAAACCACGAAATTTCTTAATTTCTAGATTTCTTTTTTGTACATCTTCTTGACATATTACGCCACATTCTTGTGAGAACTGAGGTACGAAAATGCTTAAATTGCTTTGGTTTAATTGCAATTTTCACAACTTCAACTTTCACAAGAACATTTTGATACGATGAAACAAATTAATAAAATGTTTATTTCATTCTTGGAATTGAGAATCCAATTTATTCAAATAAGAAAAATTATCGCTTACTAAAACTAAAACGCCCACAGAGTTGGTTTCGTTGAACTCTGGCACAAAATTATTTTTCCTCAAGAACCTCAATAACTCGTTTCGCAGTTCAAACACTACTTTCAGAACTTTCGTCCGTCTCAGCCCATCAAATGTCTGTGTGTTATGACACGGCTTCGTATGAAGCATCGAAAGCATCCAAAAATTCGGAAAATATCCGGTGAGTTAAGATTCCGGCTTCTTATAAAATTTACAAATTTGACCAAAAACTGCATTACATTTCGTTAATTTTATGTTTTTACACAGGGCGATTCCAAATGCAATATACAATGTATCAATAGAATAGAACTACAACCCGTAAAAATTATTTAAAATGTTGTTTTTACTTTCTCGCCTTTCGAGTTCTTCGTAAGAAGAGAAAAGACCGATATTTTGCCAGAAAAAACCTTATTGCCGGGCTCTGGTTTCCAAAAAAGCGGATTAATCCTGTGGTTAAAGTTAGAAAAAAAATCCTCTTAACTCGTCGTGTAGCAAGAATCCATTTTGTTGGTTCTTGATACCCAAAAATCGATTGACGGCAAAACATCCGTCTGTCCGTCCGTTTGTGGTCAACGCTAGCAGCTAAACCATTCAGCCAGTTTTCTCCAAACTTCATATTTCTCAATCGATCTAGCTGATGTCAGGACCCTTGGAATTTGAAACCGATATTTTAATTTTGGGGGTACTTTACATGAAGTCCACAAAACATTTTCAAAATTTTCAAAAAAATGGCTTCAATTTTTTTGAGTAAATTGTGTTGTTTAATAGTGCGAAAGGCGTTTAAGAGAATGGTGCGGGCCTCATATTCGGTGATATCACCTATATTTCGAAAATTGCAAAAATAATTTTTAAAATACAAAATTACCTGTTTAGAACAGGTCACGTGCAATTTTTTGAAGAAATGAGTAGTTTTTGAATATTGAGGGCTTGAAATTTACACAAAAAATGTTTCATAAACCGCTTCAATTTTTTTTACAATTTTCTCCACATCACATACGTAATAAGGGACGGCAAGAAAGATTTTTTCTTACCCATTTCCATGTATTGCTCTTTTTTTAATATTGCAAAACATTTGAAAATTACGAATTTGAAGATAGAGGGTTTTGCGTCAAATTTTGTTGCATGAAATTACCCATTTAAATAAATAAATAACTAGTGCTATAGATTGGCACAGACGTTCTCGCTCTTGTTAGTTTTCTATTCTTGACCAGCTTTTCCGATAGTGTTATCGTCTTCTCGCTCGTTTTCTATCCTCGCCCGAAAAGCAAACATTTTTCACATTTTTTTAATTACTCTGCTCCGTAATGCTAGAACTGAAACCACCATAGACTTATACTACCATAGAAATTATTACTTATCACTATCATAGAAGTACTCATTGTAGGTCGTACCTGCCGATGTAGCTAATTGGAACGTAAGGCCTGAGCTCTTACAAGGGCAGGTTCGCTGGTTTGACAGTTTGTCGGCAACTACTCTTGTGTTGACAATTGTATATTGTCGCAGGAAATAATTGATCATTCCAGGAGAAATATTGAAAACCATTTGAAGAAATTCTAATCGCAAGTACTATTAATCAAGATAAATAAACTGGAAGTGTCTTTGTGATTTTCAAATTTTCAACTTATAAACAATTTTTTACATCTCTTATGAGATTTTTGTTCTTTAAGGTCGCGTCAACCACTAGGTCATTAGCGACCACTATTGCGTGTAACGGTAGGGAGGCTCAGTATGACACGATATGGTAAGGGTGAAAGGACGAACACAATACAACCATGCCCGAGGCGGGACTCGAACCCGCGACCCTTCGGTCCGAGATCACTACGGCACAACTGCCTTAGAGATCTCGGCCATCCGGACCGGCTCTTATGAAATTAGTGACATGTATGAACCATCGAATCCATTGTCTTTCGGCGCGTAAGACTATTGTAGAAGTGCCAATTCTCTGTATAACCCGTGTGGCAGAATGCGGTTAAATGTCGGGTTCGGACTCAGCGTTTCGGGGGGAAGGGCCGCTGGTTCGAGCCTGGTTCGGGGGTAATTATTTGTCACAACTCTGTTGCCGCAGAAAACTTGAGAATTTCTGAAACTTTATTGAACACCATTTGAAGAAATTCTACTTACATTTCTTACTACTTCTATTAAGATTCTCATTAAACAAGTTTACAACTCTCTTGTCCTATTTGTAAAACGTATGACACATTAAATTAATTGTTCAATATAATATTGCGTTGCGTTCAGAAACTGCAAGAAAGTATGTGATTTGGTAACACCACTAGTTTCTGATTGAAGTGTGTTCTGCAGATGTCAAAGTATAGATCACAAACTAAATGTAAGTCGTTTGCACGTAACTTTATAAAAGATAGTAACAATTAAGAAAAAAAAAGCAAACGTAAATTATCTCAAAACAATGGAAATATATTATTTAATTTTGTAGCTTCAATAGTTTGCTTGATAATGTACCAGAGTTCCGTTTTCATTAAAACGTACTTAATGACAATTTATTTTTAATGCCACAGGAGCGCTGCTCGAATTGAAACACCCGGATGGCCTAGTGCAGGCTTGCGCATGGGCCGCAGCGACACCCCTCGCGTGGCTGATGGCAGCCCATCCGCGACTGAAGAGTCTATTGGCATTCCGTCTGCGGCCCAACCAGTCCTAGTGGAAGACTCACGTTTCCCGTAAGTGACCGCTGCTGGAGCCCTTAGTGAGAGGAAAGCCCTGCAGTTGTAAGTCGAAATGCGTAGAAGCATGTGGAAGAATTTGACAAATGAGCTTCACAAATAACTCTCGTTGGTTGTGGAGAGTCGAGGTTAGACAACTACTTAAAGTTTATAATTTAAAAAAAGTTTTTGTTTTTGATCACACAGGAGCACTGCTCGTATGCAAATAGCGGGTGGTCTAGTGCAATCTTGGAAATAGGCTCCAGTGACGCCCTTCACGAGGCTGAAGGCCTCAGCGCCCCACCCCGTCCTACTTATGGACTCAGTTTTGCGGTAATTGACCGCTACTGAAGCCCTCTATGGCAGGAAATCCTTCCGACTTTTAAGTCAAAAATGCGTAGAACCAAGAATTTCACAAATGAGGACTACAAATAACATGATGGTTTTGGATTGTCGAGGTTTGATTTTTATAGTATTACCTCCATAAAATTGATCAATATCTTCCGAAATATATCATGGTCTCTCTTTATTGTTTCAACAACTTTTGTTAAAATAGTTGTAATAGAAAAGAAAATTCATCTCATTTTGCTTTCTGACTACGGAGTAGAGAGTTATGTGACGCTGCGCGAAAATCGACGAATTTTCTGCAGAAAAAACCTTTTTTCCGGGCCCTAGTAACGAAGAAGTGGAGAAATCTAGTTGTTAAATTTAGAAAAGAAAATCCTCTAACACGTGGTGTAGCCACAATCCATGTTTTGTGTGTCCTTGATACCGAAAAATCGAATGACAGCAAAACGTCGATCCATCTGTGGGTCCGTCCGACCGTCCGTCCGTGAAGAACGCTAACGGCGAAACCGTTCAACCGCTTTTCTCCAAAATTGATATTTCCCATCTATCGATCTGGCTGTGTTCGAGGCCCCGTGCATTTGAAACAGATATTCGAAAATTTTAGAGGGTACTTTACTTGAAGCTCCTTGGACATTAAAAAAAATGGCTCCATTGTTTTTGATTATTTTTTGTTAGTGGAAAGGGCGTTTAAGAGAGGTCTCACACGGAGATAAATGTTTAGTTCATACAATTAATCATGTAGTAGATTCAACTAAATGGTATAGTATATTTTAGAAGAACAAAGTACTTAGTCACGTTCACGAAAATACTTTCCTTCTATTCCTTCAGGCAGGTAGCAACTGGGGTTCCGGAGCGATCACCCATCCACATGGACTCGTATTTCCTTAACATGGATTACCTGACAGACCCTAGCCAAGCCGAACAGTTGCCGACATGTGGCTACCGACGGTATTTCTACAATAAATTTACAATATAACATAATTAATTAAAACCAGTAAAATACTAAACACGCCATTTATATAGTTTATAATTCTACATGCAGTTTTAAATTTCACACTTCACACGGACCCTATAACCATTGGAATTGGTCAGATGGCTGAGAACGAGCGCTTACTAAGCAGTGTTTAGTATTGTGACGATATGAAACGTATATTTCACCGAATTATTTGATCTACGAATCAAGTATAGTACAACTGACAATTCTCTTTGTTCATTCACTTACGATTTTTAATTGCCTGATTTACTAAACGAAACTAAATCATGTTGAGTGAATCTTCCTACATGAATAATTGTATTTACTACACAGTCGCTTACTAAACAGATTAAGTACTTTCTACTACATTTGTGCATGTTCGTTGAAAACCCTGATTTTCCGAAATTTGCCAAAGTTCATTTTTTTCAGTCTTTATACAACTACAATTATGAAGTCAGATTTTTCCCTTAATGAGATCTGTCCCTTAAAGATAGATTTTTAAATAAGGTCATGCACAGTTTTTCGAAAGATTGAGTACTTTTCACGTACTTTTTGCGGAAAAATACCAGCGAGACAGTACATTCTGTTTTCGCACTACTAGTGTCGCTGTTAATCATGACTATGCACTTCAGAAATTTAATTCGGAAATATCATGTCTTAATACATATTTTTTTTCTAAATTTTTCAATATTTCAAAATTTATGTGTATACCGAAGGCAGAAACATTGTAATATTGTGCGGAGTTAATAATAAAGAGAATAAAGAAAACTCCAGAAACACAATCACATTGTATTCTTTGATCAAAAATTTCAAGATTCCTTTTTTTGCCGAACATGACTATATCAGTGGAAATGCGGCACGAATTTTGAGATACATTTCTGTGTCCATTACAGCGTACAATTGTTACTTATTTCTCTTATTGGACTAAATTCTCAGAGCTGAATCGCATAAGTATAAGTTCCATTTGAAATTCATCCGACACTTCAACAGGCTCTGAAAAATGGCTCGAAAATAACTTCTAAAGAACTGAAATCAGCAAATCGTTGCCCGAAATATTCTTTTAATTTCTCGATTTCCTCTTTGTAAATTTACATCCGATGTCATGCTCCATCTATCAGTGAATTTAAAATAGGAATATGTTTAAATTATGTATTAATTGCAAACTCCACAATTAAAATTTTCTCAAAAATACTTCGATACCAATAAAGAAATTTGTTTTCATCTTTGCTGTTAAGTATTCAAATTATTCAAATGAGAAAATATATTACTCACATTAGCTAAAACCCCTCACCCAGTTAGTATCGTTCAGCTCGTGCATAAGATATTTTTTTTCTTTCGAGAACCTTGGTTTCGAAGATCACACACTACTTTGAGAACTTTTCTCCGAAAATTGCCGGTGATATAGACAGCGCCGGCTTATAAAATTTATTGATTTGATCACAACATGCATTAGTGCACCAAATTTAATGGTTTATGCGGTATTACCAAATATAATGCTTTTATGCAGAGTGACTCTAAATCAAAAATGTAGTGTTTGAACGGGGTGAACTACAACCTTTAAACAACGTTATTATTTAAGATAGTGTTTGTTTTATTGACGTGTATTCTTCAAAGTATAGATCAGAGAATAAACGAAAGCCTTTACATGTCATTTTGTGCAAGATAATGACAATTAAAAATCGCAAACAAAAATATTTCAAAAGTACATCAACGTTTTCTTTCATTTTGTAACCCGAATTGAATAATGTTTGCTTCATAATATAGTTTCGATTTTTATGAAACCTCTTCAATATCGATAATTTCAAAAATTGAACTTGTTTTGATGCACCAGGAGTTCTGCTCGTATGCAAATTGCCGGGTGGTCTACTGAAAGCTTGCACACGGGCCCCAGCGACGCCCCTCATGATGCTGATGGCAGCTTGTTCGCGACTCAGGACGATGGTAGCATCCCATCCACGTCTCACCCTGTCCTAGTGAAAGACTCACTTTTCCGGTAAGTAACAGCTGCTGGATCCCTCAGTAGGAGGAAGGCCCTACGGATCTAAGTCAGAAAGGCGTTGAAACATGTTGAAAATTTGACAAATGAGGATTTAAGTAACTAATGATTTTTACTTTCTCGCCTTACGAAGTACTTTGTAAGAAGAGAGAGTCATGCGCCGAAAAATGGCGACTTTTGGCAGAAAAACTCCTATTGCCGGCCCCGCACAATGAAAAAGTGGATGAATCCTGTTGCTAAATATGGAAAAAATTGTCTAACACATGGTGTAGTTCAAATCATGTTTTGTGAGCCCTTGATACCGAAAAATCAATTTACGGCCAAAAGTCCGGCCGTCCGGCCGTCTGCCCGTCTGTGGTGAACAGTAGCGTCTATACCGTTCAGCCGACATTCTTTAAAACTGATATTACCCGATCGATCTGAACGAACTCGAGGCTTTGGAAGTTTGAAACCGATATTTGGATTTGTGAGGGTACTTTACATGAAGCCTCAAAAACATCTCCAAAATTTTCTCAAATATGGCATTGAATTTCTTTACTTTACTTTGTCCTGGAATAGCGTATTGGAAGCTTAAGAGAATAGTGCAGGTCTCATGTTCGTTGAAATCCCAGATCTTTTGAAAATTGCAATAGTGCATTTTTTGGGAGGCGTTATCCTACAACTATAATACTGAAGATAGAGATTTGTTCCTTACTTAAGGCTGTTCATTTAAGACATCTTCAAATAAGTTCATGTTCAATTTTTTGTTGTTTTTGTTTTGAAAATATGAGTAGTTTTCGTGTATTCTGGCGCTAAATATAAATAAGTTCAATATTTTACAAAAATTTGTTTCTCAAAAACCGCACAATTCATTTAAATTTTTCTCCTCATATGAATGGTTTATTTCAGAAACAACGTAAGTCACTGACAAATAACTTTTCAGTATGGACAAAAAACTTTTATTGCAAATATATTGGATATAAACATTGTACCAATTTCTTTTAGAAGTGGTGTTCCGTATCTTATATAAAATTGTCTCATTAAGCCAAAAGTTAAATTGATTTTTTTAATTTTTTTCTTACAAACATCGTTTACTAATTTGTTTTCGTAATAAAACGTTAATTAGAACACAAAGTTTCGCACTGTTTTCCGGTTTTCTCTGGATTGTAGCATAGTCTGGGGTGTGTTTGCAGGGGTTAATTCCCGTCGCGATTTGCTGTAGCAGTTTCTTATTTCTTCCTCCCAAGCTTTGCAACTATATATGGTGTGCATAGCGTCGTCGTCTTCTTCATGACATAGTGCGCATATCGGGCTTTCAGCGATTTTAAATCTGTATAGATAGTATATAATATGTATGTAATATGCCGTTTCCATTCAATAAGTTCCTCCCCCAGTCGGATAACCAGGAGGGGGGGCGGGATGCTCTGCGGTTTGTAATCAACACGGACTCCGTCTTGTCAACAGCCATCTGGAGGTTTCTTTGGTCCAACCAACTTTTAACCCTGCGTAGTGTTTTGTTGGTCTTCATTTCCAGTAGTTCCGTGTTGTCACTATGGCATATAATGGGTGTCGTCGGCGTAGCCTACGAGTCTGGAGTTCTGTGGGAGTTCGATATTCAGCAGGTCGTCATATAGGGTCACAAGGGGCCAATCGTGATCCCTGTGGAACACCGCAAGTCATGTCTTCCTCAATCCTATACCCGGTAGTGTAGATTATTTTCCTCTCACTGAGGTAGTCCTCCAGGATCCTCACAAGGTATTCAGGAATCTTCCCAGCTACTAGGGCTTGTATGATGTCTTTGCAGCTATCAGAATTAAAAGCATTTTTGATGTCAATCGCAACCAAGGCACAAAAACTCTTATTCCTTTTTGCTGTTTCTGCATGGTGGACTGCTTCTGAGATCGCGTTTATTGTCGAGATTCCCTTTCTAAATCCAAACTGTCTCGTTTAAAATTGGACATGTCTCTTTAGTCGTTGAAGGAGCAAACCCTCCAGTAATTTGCTCATCGTATCCAGCAGGCACAAAGGTCTGAATGATGACGTCGATTGGCTAGTTACCTTTCCGCATGAGAATTAGCTTCTGATGTTTCCAACCCTTATAGAATTTCCCTTGTTGAAAACACTGGTTAAAGGCTTTCAAAAGACATTCTGGGTATTCTTTTACAACTATCCTCAGGATCGCGTTTGGAATTCCGTCATGCCCCGGTGCAGTTCCAATCTTGGTTCTTCATCGTCTGGACTAGTTCGTCCTTCGTAAAGCGGTTGGCTTCGTCGAAGAGGTAGTCAGAAGGTCTGCTCCTCAGCATTCTCTGCTAGGGAAAAGGTCTTGGATAATTGCTTTCACCCATTTGGAGTCTTCTAGCCCCGCGATTGTTGAAGGTTTAAATTTGCCCATAACAATCTTGCAACCTTTTCCACAGGGTTCGTTGTTCACCTCGTTTAATAGGGCCTTCCAGCATTTTGTTTTGCTTCTTTTAATCTCCTATTTTAGTCTTTGTCGGACCGTCTTGTAATTTTTCCTCAGCAGAATGTCCGCATTAGCTCGTGTTGCAAGTCTTCTAGCTTTAACATATGCTTGACGAAGCTCTGCAATAGCCGCTGTCCACCAATACACCTGATTTTTCCCCATTAGGCTCCTACGTCTGGGCATTGAGATGTCACACGTATTTTTAACGGTTTCGCACGTTTCCCGTACTACCTCTTCGAGGGACTCCGTACTTTTCCTATTACTCCACTCCATCGACTCCAGTAATTTAGTTTCAAGGAATTTCATGGCTTCAGCTTCTTTTAGTTTTTTGGTGTTCCAAGATGGACCTTTTTGGCTGATTCCTTCTTCTAGCTCTGTTTCCAGCGAATGAAGTGGAGAATTCAATGTAGCGGTGATCGCTAAGTGTTTCAGCGTCGAGAACCTGCCAATCCAGTACATTCTTGGCAATCCTTGTGGTTCCTATTGTTAAGTCTTTTATCGAAGAAGCTGCGCCCCTTTGAAATGTACATGAGCTCCCTGTGTTTAGGACTACCAAGTCCTTCCTAGCCAGGAATTCGCAAACAATATCGCCTCTGCGATCAGTTCTGCTTTCGCCCCATTCCGGAAACTTGTTGTTAAAGTCTCCAGTCAATATTATTTCACCTGGGGCTGAGTTCTTGCTTGCATCCAGTTCATAGATTTGCTTCTTAAATTCCTCTATTCGGTCGTTTGGGGAAAAATAGCAACTATATATTCTGATGCTGTCCATTTCTACCCATATAAAACCTTGGTTTGTAACTTTAAATTTAGAGACTCTTTTTTAGTTTATTATAATTCCTGCACATCGTGTCGTGTCCTGGTAGAGGGATACTACTCACTGACCAGTAAGACATCCACCTGTCTTTCCCTTGCCGTTTGAATGAGATCTTGGGAGATCTTTCCTTTGCCTAAATTAATTTGAAGGAACCTAGGCATTATTTGTTTTACCGAGTTTCCTTAGTTCTGCAGTGAGGGAAGGGCATTTATAGCTACCCAGCTTATGATTGTCTTCTAGGTTTTGGTCTTTGCAGACAATACATTGAACTGACCCTCTGCAGTCCTTGGCCATGTGCCCCTTTTTGCCACATTTGTAGCATTCTTCACTTCTGTCGGGGCCCTTGCAAGAGGTGGAGATATGGCCAAAGCCTAGACAGGTAAAGCATCGTCTGACCTGGTGCTTCATCCTAACGTGGCAAGTTAGCCAGCCAATCTCAAAATTCTCTGCTTTGAGTAGAATTTCTGCCTGGCGCGAAGGGAGCAGAGCAGTCGCTACCTCCCAGGTCGCCGGGGGGAAGTCTCCCGTAATGCGTGTAACAGCATCTCTTACCTCATCTAGGGTAACAGACTCATCAATGTTCCTTAATTCAATTAATTTTTTTGGGTTAAACGTATTGATGTTTACCCTGTCTCCTATTGCACGGGTGGTTGCTTCGTTTAGGGAAGTGGGGTCACAATCTTTCTCCAGGACTATCAGGAGTTCATCTTTACGTGTCCTACTGATCGTCTGGATATTAGCGTTGTGTTGCTTCGGGTCAACCGCTTCCTCCATTCTTTTTAATTTTTCGGCATATTTTCGGCCCTTCGTTGGCTGTCAGTTTGATGGCCTGGTTGGTAGGACTTCTGTTCCTGGCCTTGGGGGTTTGATTGCCTTCTTTGGTGGAACTCTCCTTTTTCTTCACCGTCTTCCTGGGTTCCACTTTCTGCCAGTTCTTATCAGGGTTTTGGTTTGGTTTTTCAGTAACCAGCTTTATGACTTCATCCTGCTTGTCTTTCTTGTCTGGCCTCTTGTCTTGAAGTGGGCTTGTAATTGTCTCTTCTTCTTCTTCTTCTTCTTCTTCTTCTTCTTCTTCTTCTGGGACTGTGCCGTTTTCACCGACTTCTCGTTTATCTGTTTGACGAGTTTGGTATTCTCGGTCTTTTTGTCATTCTCTAGGAGGATTATTTTCTCATACATCCCCTTTTTATCTTCTTTAATGTTGACCCACCTATTCTTTAGGGCATTCACCTCTTCTAAATCTATAGCCAAGGTGTCCTTCACTATAACTACGTTGTTTTTCAGGATGTTGCTGCTGCTGATAATTAATTGACTCTGTAGACGGGCAATAATCTCCGAATTGTCTTCCATCAGCTTTTGAGTCATCACCCAGTTATTTGATGTCCAGCCCCTCGCATTACTATCCCTTGCCGACGTGGGCTCTTTTTGGACCAGGGTTGCCTTGTCTCCTGTGGGTACACCAGTTCTTGTGTGGGTACGTGGAGGTGATCTCCGCAGTTTTGACTTCCCAGAAAAGGAGTTAAAACCTGATTGATCTATGCTTTCGCTTTTCGCAGCATAGTATTTCAGAGACGCCAAGCGGTCCACGTCTTTGTGATTGCAGTCGCTGGTTGACGACCTCCGGGAGCCTGCTTACCCACCCCCGGCTGCCGGTACTGGGGCTCCGATCCCCTGCACCGTAACGGTTGATCCTGAGGGACCTTCCATCGTGGGTTTCTTTTCGGGGTCACCTTCCCA